AATAATTGGTATTATCAATAAAAGTATAATTTATAATATTAGTTATAAAGCTATTAATAATTCCAATTAATAAAGATATAAAAATTTTTATAAATAGTTAAGTCTATATAATTAAGTAAAAAGTTTTTGAACAAAAATATCCTAAAATAATATATAAATAATAGCTAAAAAAAAAAAAACTGATTATTGTAAGCAAGATTATTGAAGCTTATAAAAAAAATTTTATATTAAAAAATTTTTTTTTTTTTTAAACTGCAACTGGTATTAGATGCAAGTGCTTTTATTAAAAATTAACTTAACATCTTAGATAATGAAATTCTGAACATCACATCAATCATCTCATACAAACTATATATTTTCTATATATATAAGATTAATGATAATCTATTATGGTTTTCTCTAGGTGACCCACTAATCACTCTATGAGTGGAGCAGATCCAGCTAGGGGCCAGATGGTTAATACACAGTCATCGATGGCAAAACAGGCTAATTTTAGTATTGAGCTTTTATAAATTTTTAACTATATTCACTAAACTAATCTGTATAGTATATACCCAATGGGATTTAATTTACCCTCCAATACTCTCAGATATTATTCACTCAGACCTCGGAAGGGGACACTTTACCTTCTTTGTTACCACCTGTGGCATCGGATCAGTTCCATTTGACTGATTTTTATTTAAGCAGAGCACCATATTGGGATATCTTGAGCTAAAAGGATGGGAGTCCTGGAGACTGCTAGGGCAGGGGGTCTTGTGGAGTATTTATGGTAGATTAAACCAGAAGCCTTTCTTCATGCAATCCTTCTGATAGTATGACTGTAAATCTCAGCCCCTAATCAATGGAAAGCCAGAAGTCACATCTTCATGCAACCTAATCTGATTAAAGCTTGTTCCAGATGTTTGGGTACAACTTTCACAGGATAACCGGTAAACCTGATCAGAAGGATAATTTTGATTTTTGATCCTTAAGTGGTATTGAACTATAGATCTTGTGATTGCGACCTGGGAGCACTACCACTGTGCTATTAACTCACAGGTTTTAAACTTATTAAAGTTAAAATATATATTAGTAATTTATATAATGAAATAGCGAATAATTTAATCAAACAAGTACTTTAACTTTTAACAATTATATAAAAAGATTTAACTTTAGATAAAATTCTAATAGAAAAAATAGTAGAATACAATCCTAAATAATTCCATTTATCAATTTATTAAATTTTTTTTTTTTTTTAAATTCTGCTCAACCTTCAGTTGGCTTTTTATTAACTTTAAACTCAATATTACATATGTTTTATCTACTTTAGAGCTAACTATAAATTAGTAATGATATTAGCATATATGTTAAAAAATTTTGTATACAAAGATTTCTTCTGATTCAGATCTCCTATGAGGATCTCCATGGTCTGTTGCCTCCCATATAATAGGGAACTAGCTTGCCTGGGCTGAGCTAGTGACTATATTTCTTATAGTTGTTACCAAGAAAGTATAACTAAAAAAAAAGGTACTGCCGGACGATGACCTAAGAAATTTTCCTTCTACCGACCGTCCACTGAGACTTTTATCATGAAAAGGACCAACATCTACGAATTATCCACTGGAGTGCAATGTCTAAATCTTCGAAAGGGAGAGAGTGAGGGGTTGTCTTTCTTGAGAACCATGACTTTTATTTAACAAATTTTAAGTATTATATTCGATTCACCCTAGGATCTACTCAGTAACAATACATATATTTATATATTTCTTCTCTCTTCAGGATATACAGTATATTACTCTGTTATACACTGTGTACGTTAAATAAGTACTATATACATCAACTATTCTTAGTATCTGTGTCTATATTAGCTAGTTATATACTGTAGATTATACTATATGCATATGTACTACCTTATCGGAAAGCCATGCGATTCCTTCTTGATTATTCCTAGCACAATTTTTTCTTTTTCCTGTCATGTCAAGAGCAAGCTGGTTATCAGGCCATTGAATTTTCTTTATCCTGGACCCAGTGTTTCAGTTATTCGGAGTGGTCCATGGGTTTCCCCTCCCACCAAAACCAAGGCCTCCCGGTAGTTAAGACAGGACCACCCCTTCACTATCCAGTGCTTGTTGTCCAGAGGTACTCTATCAGTCAGTTGGATCTGCTTTTCTTATTGCTATAAGCAAAGTTATCAACTTAGGATAGTCCTAGCTTTTTGACTTTGGAGATTGGTTCAGTTACAATCCTTATATAGACCATTTACATGATCTACAGGTTCCCTCCCTGTTGATTTGTAGCTATATTTGGAAACGTCGATTATATACGGTTACGCTAACAGATAAATGTTCATGCCCCTTGCGGGGGTTGAACTTATATCTTGTGATCTGATCTATGGAGTGCTAACTACTGCACTATCAATCCATAGGTTATCAATTTATTAAAATAATAAATAACAAGACAATAATATATACAGTATATAGATTTATTAAAATAAAATAAACAAAAAATAAAATCAATAAAGTTAAGATTATTAAGCTTTCTTTCTTATAAAATCTAGTTTAAAAAAAATTGAATATATATATATACATATATGGGATATATTCTTTAAAAACTTTTAATAAAAAAGTCTTTTAATTAAAATAATCAATAATAAACTATCTATTTTGATAAGATTGACAATAAAAAAAACAGATCTATATAAATAAGTAAAATATATAACTTATAACACAAATCTAAATAAAACTATAAAATATATCTTGAAGTCTTTAGTCTATATAAATTAAATGCAAAAAATTTGAATAAAAAAATTAAAGACAATTATATAGGAATTTTAAAACTTGATATAGAAATAATAATAATAAAAAACCTCACAAAAAATATAATAAGAGATAAAAAATAAAAAAAAACCAAATAAAATAGTCAAATAAATATATAAACTATTCAACCAATTTTCTAAAACTAATTCAAATATATTAACCTTTTTAACAGATTTATAGAAAATAATTTAATTAAAGAAACTCTAAAACTAAAATATTATAAGAAGAAATAAAAAAAAATAAAAAATAGATTCTATAGATACAAAAAAAGTTTTCAATAATTTCAAAAGGATTATATAAAATAAATAGTATAAAAAGATTATAAAGTAAAAATAAAAATCAAAATCAAAAAAAAAAATAAAATCAAATAATTAGTTAAAATACTTTTTTAGAAAAACTAATATAAATATAAAGTTTTACAAAGAATAAAAAAAAAATAATTAAAAAATAATGATCTTATACAAATTTGAATAGAAGATATTGAATATAAAAAAAAGTAATTGAATTTTAATTCTAGTCAAAACTTTGAAAAATAATTTGTAATGATAATCTATAAACTATAATATTAATAGTTAAAAGAGTTTTTACTTGAATTACTAAAGTTATACTTAAAATTAATATTAACTAAGATAAATAAGTTAATTAGAAACTTGGCTTTAATAATATATAATAATATATAATTTATTAAAAAGTTTATATGATTGTTTTCAAAAGTTTGAATCTACTTATTATATTTTTATTGTAAATTTTAACTTTGATAATTTTTAATTATTAATTATGCAGTTAAAAATTATAAAATTTATATACAGTTGCTTCTAAAAGTTTGAGTTCACTTATTATAAATTTTAATTTTGATGATTTTTAAATTATTAATTATGCAGTCAAAAATTATAAAATTTATATACAGTATATTATATATTAATACTTATTTTATTTTTTATACTTTTTTAAAAATTTTTTATTAATATATTCTAAAGTTTTATTATTGTTAAATAATTTTATTTTTTTATTAATTATTATATAATTTATGATATAATTAATCAAAATTTTTCAAAAATAAAAATTTGATAAAGAAAGAAATTTTTTAACAATATTAAAACTTTAAAAATTACATATAAAAATTTTTTAAAAAAATACAATAAATAAAACTAGTATTAAAATTAATATATATAAATTTTATAGTTTTTGATTATATAATTAAGCATTTAAAAATTGTTAAAGTTAAAATTTATAATAAAAATATAATAAATAGTCTTAAACTTTTGAAAGTAACTATATATTTTTAAATATTATTCTTCTTTTTATTTTTCTTTTCCCTTATTATAATTTCTCAAAATCAGTTTCTTGGAGAATAATAAATAGTGACAAACTACTGATAATTATGGATAAGTTGGAAAATTATTATCTTAAAGATTGTATTTAAAGGTTTGAACTCTTTTGAAAATTGATAGCTGTTGATAAGTAAATCAGCATGAATTTAGTTTAACTATATTATAATTGCTCAATATATTTCTATCAGCTTTTATAATAATGAATAAACATATTATGCTAGCTTGACTACGGATTTAAAAAAAAAAAAAAGTTTGTATAAGATAATTAATATAATATAAAAATTTATTTATTCATTATATATTAAGTTAATTTTTAATAAAAACTTTGTATTTAATATCAGTTATGGTTTAAATATAAAAAAAAAAAAATTTTTTTTTTCAAATTTTAATTTATTTATTTTTCAATAATCCAATTTTATTATTAAAAAAATCAATAGTTATAAATCCGTTTTTTTTTTTCTTATTAAATTTTTTTGTATTTTTTAATTTTATTGATTTTTTTATTAACTATAAATGTCTTGTTTTGGTCTTCTTAGAACTTTCACTTTCATGATTTTCTAGGGAATTTTGTCTACCTCAGTTTGATCCTAAAGGTGATATTTTCTTCTCATTTTATTTGATATAACCTTTAACTAACTGGTTCACTATCTACGGTATATTTCTTTAATAATATTTTTATTATCTTTGAAAGATATTCACCAATTATTTGATCGCATATAAGAAGTTAAATGGTAGAGTTCGTATCAATTACTTTATTTTTTTTTTTTCAATATTAATAAATACAAAGTAATATGTCTTTGGTGATTAGCATTAATCACGGATTACATTATAAAGATAACATCACATTATACAGTAGTCCTAAGCCACACGTTTATCAATTCACTTCATCTATCTCATCGTCCGTTCTCTCTGATCGTTTTTGCCCAAAAATTCGAGATGCCGAACTATAAACCTCATTAACATCAATCTCATCCATCATTGTGTCAATTGTTGAGCTGATTTCTTTTTCTCTTATTCCAAGATGTTTTGCAAATTGTGGGATAATAGACTTGTACGTTTCATAATATAAAGTCCTTACAGATTCACCTAATTTACCGGCAAATTTACCTATTGGGAATCTTTTTGATTCGCATTGAACATTTGTAAAGTCGCCAGAGGTTTCCAGAAAATTTTGAAGTTTTTGAAGTAAGTCCAGTTCTATATTGAATGACTCCAGTAAACCTAGCTCTAGTTTGCAACGAATGTGCATGTAATTTCAAGAAAGTAAAAGTTTATGAGAAAGATTAATCAAGGGAACCAAGCACATAAATAAATTAATGGATTGTGGGGCCTACTTTTTTCGATAAATTGTGATAGAATAGGTCCACTCCCACTCATCATTAACTCAAAATCCATCAGCTATTATGAGTATGGAAAATAGTGAAATTCAATTCATTAATTTCGTTCAAATGCATGCAAACGATAAATAGACCGCTTACCTCGAGCCATCCACCAGGTTTTAATACCCTGACTAGCTCCTGAGTCCGATAAACAAAATGTTGGTTGGTTGGTTGAACATAAAATGGAAAAACATCACTTTTACCCGTCGTTCATAAATGACAAACCTTTAGAATGATGTTTTCCCACTCTGATGATGTATAGTCATACGATGAATATCTTAGTGATACAAAGTCAAAACAATTATCCACTGTGAAAATTCGATAGGATTAGCGACGCGAGAGAAAAAAGAAGAGAATCGTTAAAATCAATGTTCTTACCAAAAGGCAATCCACTTTCTTGCTGCTCGTTCGCACTCCCAATGTCGTCTGTAATCAAATTTGCATCAACGAATTCCACATCAAATGGTTTCCCCGCGTTGTTTAGCAGAGAGATAACGTAAGATGGATTTGTGCCAATGTAAGTGCAGCCTGGGTAATCAGACGATAATTCAAAAAGCCAGGTTCCGGGACCGCAACTATATTGCACAACAAAACAAACGATATGAATATTTTTAACAATGTTAACGGGAACCAATGAATTCCAGTTTAACATCTTGCTTGGACATTAACAGAACCAGATTATTCTTATCATTACGCAAACCGATACTTTTGCAATAGTATTCGTTCTTTCTTTGGAAAGTGGAAGCAGACAAATAACGTTTTAAAGTACATACTCAACGTCAAGAACTTTGGCCCAACCAGTTTCAAGTATGTCATGAACAGGTGAAGAGAAATTTCCCCCAAAAATTTCTCTCACGACATGATGCCTCAGATGTTGTCGTTCTATCTCTTCATCATTTATCGGAAACAGCTCTTTATAACGTAAATGAGTTGGCTCTTTCGAAAGACTTTTCCCCATTTTTTGCTTCTCCTTTTTGAAAATTCAACCTCGCAAAGCAAGAGGGATTTTTTGCTCGCGCTGTGCGACCAGATAAATACCCGTTTTATTCCTTATGCACAGCCCTTACACCATGATAAATATTTGGATTGATTCTCCGCATTTTCAAAGAATACTTTTCTGGTTAAAATACCGAAATTAACCAATTATCATTAACCTTCGGATTACATTCACTCATTTGCTTATTGTTTTTACACCAATTATCGGTTCACCTTTAAGACAAATATTTTGAATGTTGGTAAATATATTTATATTTTGGTGAATCCCTTGATCAGACGGGCCACTAATACGTAACAGGGAGAATATATATATTTATTTCAAAAAAAAATAAAAAAATTTGATGATATACGGAGTCACAAATCTAACCATTTTCACTTTTCATTAATTCATTTTTTATTTGACCCGAAAAAGTCATTGATGTATCGTTGGAATCCATTTAACCTTTTCGCCGTCCAAACTTGAAACTTGAAATGGCATCAAGCTTCTTGAAACTATCCTTCAATGCAATGTTTATAATGCACTGATTTATTTTTGTTATAATTGAAGGCATTGATCTTTGAAACCTTAGCATTTACGTCGTCAATTGGTTCTTTTTAAAAAAAAAATTTTTTTTTCTGTGAATTATATTTTTCACTAAAAATAGATATCTATTGCCGCATTGTATTTTACCGCATAACACGACAATTATTGTATTTCTACTTTGTCAAGTGTCAATTGTTTTGCGTTTTTATAAAAAAAATATATATACACATGGTAACACTGTCACGTTTTGACGTGATTTACTTAGCCAATGAGCGTGTTCCGGAAGTTTCATAGCCTCTTGTTGGCCTAGAATAGGAATCAACACATGTAATCGTATTACGCTAACAGTTACCCAGGTCAACTCATGTAACCCCAGCCATTTATAAACTATTATGATTTTTAAAATATCGGGATAGAACTTTTTAACTTTGCAAAAATTATTTTTTACCGACGTGCATCATAAAAAAAAAAAAAAAAAGAGAAAATATGCTGGAATCATCACGGTCCTCTTCGTCAACAGTAGATATCTCGTCGGAAGGCATCATAATCGATCAAGAGGGAGAAAAGGAGACGCTAGAATTAAACCCTTCCCACCCTCAAAACAATAATAATTCGATCGAACGCGGACATGGATACAGAGAAGAGGGAGATCATCTGGATCATGATCATAATCGATTAACCGACCGTTCGACAATTTCTTATGAAGTGAAGGGAAGAAACAGAACCACGAAAATGATCTTGCTGACTCAATGTCTAGCAGGGTGGGTTGCTTGATTTTTGCCCATTTCGAAGTTGAAATGTTCTTTTGTGGACGCAAATGAATACCTGCCCATCATATGTTTAATTAAATATTTAAAATATAACTCTGGTGTGTATACACACACACACACATATATATATATATATATATATTGCACGGTTGATAATATAGAATATCACAACTAATCCTACTTTTTAATTATAACACGGGAACCTAAATCTTAGCTTGCAGTTTTCCTGTGGGTACAAAATTTTCATTCAAATCTATCAAAAGATCTCGTTATTTACTCGTCGAATTTTTTTTTTATAGGGTCCGTGGAATTGGCATATGGTCAGGATGATTATTATTACGTAAAGCAGTGACCTCACCCGTGTATACATACGAAGAGACTAATATCCGCTCTTACCCTCTAGGAACACCGTATCTACTTGATCTAGGATTATCAAAATCGCTTATGTCTCTTGTATGGCTGGCTGGGCCACTTTCAGGTGCAGCAAAAATTACGATATCTTCTACGTGATTCAATATTCGTTTTCTTAATATTTATGTGATTATTTGTTTGAAAAGGTCTTATCACGCAACCTATAGTTGGTGCACTTTCCGATAGGTCCACATGTAAATACGGACGGAGGCGACCTTATCTGGTAGGGGGGAGTGCGATAGTTATAACAGCTTTCATATTGATAGGATGGACAAAGGAAATTATCGAATTCTTTTTTGGGACAGGAACTTCCACGGTAAATTTTGATATCTTCCCGTTGCTCCTTTCCATCCGATATATTCACTTTTATTTCTAAATGTGTGATTAACACAGTTCGCTACTTTTAGAGCAAATATATGTCAAAGTGGTTGGCCGTAATCTCATTTTATGTTCTGGATTTTTCGATTAACGCTGGTATGAATGCTTTCGACTATTTTTATTTTTATTAAATGAGGACACCGCTTTATAACAAATGTGATGGTATATCTGCATTTGCTATGAATTAATTAAATTAAAGCTATGGCTGCCTGTCGTGCCTTGATTACCGACAGCCTGCAAAAATCACAACAGGAAGAAGGTAATGCGTGGGCTGGCAGAATGGTAGGCGTTGGAAGCGTGATAGGCTATTTCATGTAGGTTTTAAGCAGGAAATCAAATCTATTTTTCGCAAATATTGAACGTTCAGCAAACATTTTCCTCGTTGAATCACGTAGGGGATATGTAAACTTGAATCACTATTTTCCTTTCTTGGGAAACACTCAACTAAAGGCATTATGCCTGCTTGCATGTATCGTGTTGTTTACGTCCGACGTAATAACCTGCTGGGCTGTTCCGGAGAAGCCACTGGTTGGTGGAGGCAGGTAGGTCTCGAAATTCGCCTTTAATTACAAGATTCTGCAAATCATTGGCTTATGACCTCCCACTTTATTACATAAAGTGCAAGATCGATTTGGGAATCCACGATGGATACTTTTTCCTCGATTATCAGGATTTTTCGTAAGCTTCCAAAACAAATAAAAAATGTTTGTTTCGTACAATTCGCTTCATGGATGGGATGGTTTCCATTTTTATTCTATTCCACCACATGGGTATCTGAAATATTTGTACGCGATTCTCAAAAAGGCGTTGGTACAAAATTAGATGGCACACAAGCAGGTTCATTTTCGCTATTGTTATTTTCAATCGTAAGCTTGGTTGCGTCATTTGTTCTGCCATTATTAGTTACCCCATCAGACACTGACGTCCCTTTAAGAGAACTTTCCATGAAACAACTTTTGAGGTTACCATTACCATTTCTGACCTTACCAAAACTATGGACAATTTCACATTTCATTTTCGCATTTGCAATGATGTCAACCTGGTGGGTGGGAAATGTGGTTCAGGCTGACTTGATCATCGGATTTATAGGTGTAACGTGGTCGATATCAATGTGGGCGCCATTTTCACTTCTAGGCGAATATATTAAACAAAAAGAATCCGGTGCCGCTGGAGGGATAGGTTGTGAAGGGGATGAAGGTGCGCAGATGTATAGATTGGTCGAGGCTAGAGAAGATGAGGAGAGGGAATGTAATGGATTGGGTGAAGATAATCTCAGCACATCACTTATAAGTCCGAGTAATAGTAATCCGATTGTTGCTCTTCAACAAGATCACTATGGGAATGAGGACATCGTTAGCTCCGGCACAATATTGGGAATTCATAATATGTTTGTAGTGTTTCCACAATTCTTCGCAACTTTCTTTAGTAGTATAGTATTTGCCATATTGGAACCTGTGGATAAGGGTCCTACTGATGAAGGAGAGCTGGATGCGGGAGTGGACTCGATAGGGTTCGTATTGAGGTGTGGGGGATTGGTGGCCATTGTCGCGGGGTATTTGTGTATAAGATTCTACATCCTTAAAAAATAATTTTGCATGTGAAGTTCCATTTATCGACGATTAATTTTTAAAAAGAATTTTTATTTTTATTTTATCATCCTGAGCGGTCGCGAATGAAAATGATGCTGATAATTTGATCATTTATTTCTAATTCTAGACTTTATTTACACAAAGATTGGGGTCATTTAATGCTCGGAAATAAAAGGCTTTATAGCATTCGTGTAACCTTATATAAACATTTATAATATAAACAAACAATAAATAAATAATAAAAAAAAAAAAATCTTAATTCTATGCAAATACAGTCGGAATTTTATCAACGAAAACCAAAAATCCCACGCACGACAAGTTTCACGAGATTCCAAATGCGGACCTTTAAGAACAATTTGATATTGTACATATGTTCTGCAACTGAAGCCGCGTTTCTTAACGTCCCTTCACTTCCACCTCTTATGATTATGCGAAACCAAACAACGCGAAATCATCAATTTTATCTAATGTCAACATTAAAGCAAATTCTCAAGGTCGAAAATCTGATGTCCACTTAATTTGTAATTCTTGATACCACTTTCTCGTAAAACTTTGAAATGTTCTTCCGCAATTATATCCATACCTACCTCCTCCGCATTCCTAATGAAAGGGCTGATGGCACGTTCAATGCTGAAAGATTCAAGTTGCGCTGACCGCTTACATCCGTCCAGGAACACTTTCAAGGATTCTGGTGAAAATGTCCAAGGATTTCTTAGGTTCATGTGAAACGACAATACCTTCAGCGACCTTGGTACACATTCTGATAATTGAATTAATAATTCATTTGAAACAAATCCGACTTCTATGTCGTAAAGGAGAAATTTCAGGTGATGACATTTTCGAAAAATCAAGAGAATGTCCTCAGGCTGACAGGTGCACAAAACCAAGGATTCCACATTTTCGCAATGGTTCGCGATAATTTTGATTGCATCCGGAACCATTACATCCAGTGATATTTTCTTCATATTAACGCTTGCAGTCTTGAAGAAATTTATGATACTTCTCGCGGGAATAAATTCCTGCCCGGCAATGAACATGAATGATTCCAGATTTGGAAATGAATTACATAATACCTCGAGGTGCCTATCGTCCAAAGCTTCACAACTAAGGAGCATCAACGATCGAAGTTCCTTGCACTCCCCGAATGTGTCCAAGCAATTCAAATCAATGTCATAAAACGTTATGCCAGTGATTAGTACCTCGGTCAACGTATCCTTTTGACTGGCCAAGGATTTAAATGTTGGACCAAAGCAATCTCCACGAGATGCAAAAATATGTGAAGAGAGGTGAAAACTCTTCAAATGTTTTTGCGAGGTGATAAGCTCAGGTAATATGACCCCCTCATTATACGACCCAACCTTAACTGAAAGCGTGTCAATATCATTGCACAAGTGCGATAGTGCCCTATAGATGGGTTCATTTTTGGAATTTTCGGTGCTATTAAATCTTCTAAGATCTTTCAGGCATCGATCAGCTCCAGGGAGAGTTGGAAGAAGTATGGAAAAGGATCTTATCGGATCTATGAACCATGACTTATCATCATAAACTTCGTAGAGAGAATAGATTGATTTGCAGTTGCTCATAAACAGCTTGCACAATTCAGTATATATGACCTGTAACTTATTGATTATAGTATCATCACACTTCCTGAAGAATGCGATCTCGTGAGGATACATATATCTATTGATGTTTTGTTTCAATTCAGAAATATCGAGATGTTGTAAAAACCCTGCATAATCAAAAAGTGTCCCTGACGCGGAGGCCGAAAGATCGATTCCACTTTCAGAAAGCAACCTTCTCGATTTCTCATCCAGGCATGACAGGTAGGTTCCGATTATTTTGAAGGCATTGACGGTCGGATAAAATTCTTTAGAAAACGGTGACCTCCATAAAAACGGTACAGCTAGTCTGCACCATTTACGGTTCACCAATAATGAGGAAAATATATCGCTACGTTTATTGAAACTACTGAAAATTGCTTCATAAATCTCGGGTGGAAATGGGAAATCCATCGGCTAGAAAATATGGTAACCTTCTCAAAGAGAGTTGATGTAAGCTAATTAAATCCGAAAATACAATATATACAAAGAAGACATTCGTACGACTTTCGCACGCCATTATTCCGCATGATTTACCTGCGACCAACCAAGAAAGGTAATGATGAATGGAGGCTTCTGAAGCCAATAAAACATCGTCTATTTATAGAACAATAATAAAAAAGATTGCAACTTTGAAAAAACAATAAATCATTTACTATTTATTAGACAATTGATGTAACTTGGATTCTTGAGAGGTTATAGATTCAAAAATATACAAAGTTTTTCTTAATATTATTTTTAATAAAGAAGAAAAAGTTATTTATTAAATTAAAAAATTTTTTAAAAAAAAATATAAAATAAGTATATAATATATAATAAAAAAAATTGAAATTTTTGTTTTATAGAAAAAACCAAGAGGATCACATTATATTGCATAATTTATATTATTTTATAATCAATTTTTTTTATATGGCAGTGACAACCTGCTGGTAATGATGCAGTGGACTAGAAGGATTTTTAATCCAAAGATACTGCAAAGTGAAATATTGTTTTCAAGATCGAACTTAGAGGCTTTTATGCTTAAGACAAGTTAGTTAGATTAGAATAATAGTTTGGTTGTAGTATATATCATGCTGCTCAAATGAAAATTTACTTATGTTTTCAATTGATTAATAAACTAACAATCTAGCTTGGCTATGGGTACTTAAAAAAAAAAAAAAAGTAAAAATTTTTTTTTATTATTAAGTCTTAATATTTAATTTAATTATATTTGCTCTCAATAATTAATTTACAATGATAAGATATCAAATCTATTAAATTTTTTATTATAAATATAGGAATAAAATTCCATCCTTCAATTATTATCTTGCTAGAAGCATCAATAATCTCAAAATATTATCTTAATTTCTGTAAGTTAATTTTATAAGATTTTGATATAAAACAAATTATTTATTATATAATATGTTGAAAACAAAATAATTTTATTTTTCTTTCTAATAAAAATCTATTTTAAATAAACAATAATTTTTAATTTTTTGATATAGATTTGGTCAAGTGTATATCTTTATACCAATGTTTTAATATATTATAAAATAATTGAAATGTTATTTTATTATTAAATAATATTTTTTTTTAATTATCTTTTAAATAAAGCTTTATTAATTTAATTCTTTTTTTTTTTTGTGAATATTTATTAACATTGACATAATTAAAGTCCTTTATTTTTTAAGAAAATATTTTTTTAAATACTGATCATTAATAAAAAAATATTTAACTATTTTTTTTCTAATTTAATAATCACATTATAAAGATATTATATTATTCCTTTAAATATATTGATCTATTATATTAGATAAACTACTATTAATTTTTTTTGTATAATTATTTTCACCTTTATAATTTGTTGTTCTAATCTTTTCAAATTTATTAATACTATATCATATAGTTGAAAAGAATAGCTTAATAAATTATATAATTCTAATATTAAGTATATACTCAATATTTAAAAATATATTAAGTTTTACTTGCTTTTTTTATTAATTATTTTATTTATCATATTACAGATTATGCAAGATCTAATAAGTCAAAGTGATTTTACAAATAGATTTTTTAAACTAATAATATAATTATTATTTTGCTTAAAAATCATATGAATTAAATTAAAAATAAATAAGTTATATATATGCAATTTTACCTGTGGGTCAATAGTGCAATGGGTACACCTCCAGGTTACCATTCACAAGTTACTGGTTCAATCCCACCTAGAAACAGTTTCTGCAATATAGGGTATATTGTACAAGATGCATGCTCATCATTACATGCATCTTTGTACTCACAAATATCCTATAGATTTCTACTATCCGACCACAGTATAAAAATTCAGGTTATCCAAGCCTTGGCTGGTTTTAGTGTTGAGGAAAAATCTTTGATATACCTGTTACCTGAAATATGCAAAAATCCAAGTCAAGTCAGAAAAAATGCCGATCAGCTTAAGCCTCTTAATGGATATAGGAAGAACATCCACCTCTTGTCAAAACTACATCCTATGGGAGATAAGGAAGACTTCGGTCATTTGTACCTATCAAAATATAATGGATTATAACAATAATTAATGGGAGACCTCTATGGTCGCAAAACCAATGGCTACCAAAGAGAACAGCTATTGCGAGAGCTGGTGGTTAGCGTTAGCATCACGTTAGGAACCAGTAGGGGCAAACCCTAGAAAAAGAAATTCAGAAACAATTACTAAGGTAACCAATCCAATGGAGAAGCAATCCGTTACGAAGTAACCAAGAGAAACTCCTGCTAGGCCAGCTTGCAAAAGTGGTAAAAATGAGGCAATGGAAGGCTATATACCACCCAATTATGTGACACCATTAATCACCTGAATGTCAAGAACATGATCGGAGGTTTGTGCTATCTAAGTTTCAACTAGCGTGCGGAGGACTTAAACACAGTAGGGATCATCCATGGTACCCATAATCATCGAATGGTATACAAGACCTCACTAAGGAATACACAACATAAGCCCTTTGAAGAATAATAAGAAGTCCATAGCAGATCTTTAGAACGTTACAGTCTTGGGCAAAGCAGGGCAACTGATGAAAATAGTACTACTATGTGATAAAATTGGTAAACTAGGCTAGGATAGGTAGTTTAAGAAGGTTATACGAATTGTTCATGTAATCTAAAAATGTACTACTGACTCCTCAATAAAGATTCATCCTGTCAGTTGGACTAGTTAAAAAAAAAAAATATATATATATATATATATATACAATTTTAATAACATAAAAAAAAACTCTTTCCGCTGATCCCCTTTTTCCTAAAAATTTTCTTATTTGGTAATTTTCTTGAAAAAGAGAAGCCAGCCTCAAAAGCACTTTATCCTTTAAAGATTTAGGACTTAACAACAAACTACAACAGTCAA